TAGGGTTGCAGTTATGAAGTATTGATGTGCTTCTGGCATGGTTATCGCTTGGAAAAAGGTTTTAGGTTTTGATCCACATCTTTTTGCTCTAGTTTGATTTGCATGTATAGATGTTTTGTCTGGATTTAGTTGTCCTGTTCTTCTTTTTTCTTTTGATATTCTACGTTGTTATGGGCTTTCTGAGAGTTTTTAAAAACTCAGGCTTGGTCCTTGAATTGTTCTCTTTGGGATTGTGGTTCTTCTGACTTGTGTTGGGTGTTGTTTTTCCATATTGGAAGCATTTTGTTTGAACTTTGCACTCAGTAACTCTAGTTGTGATGTGCCCCCTCCCTTGATACACAGTTGTTTTTCTTTTCTTGCATGTTAATATCTTTCCCTATTCTTTTATTTTAGATTTGATGTGATTAACGTAGCTTCCGTGTTTCTTCTAGTCATAGACTAGAAAGCATGCTTTCTGAACTAATGACTGAATGCATCTTTTATGGCTGCCTTGTATTGCTGTGATGAGCTCCTGATATTACCTAAGTGTTATCATTTCCAGATGTTAACTTTTGGACATTCCGGATTCACAGGATGTTCTTTGCTAGTGGGATGGAGATTTTTCCAACATTCTGTAGTTCTTCTGTGCCCACTTAATTTTGCTAGAAGTTTTCATTTATGACCTTCATGCCAGTATTTTTCTTTCTCCTTTGTCCTTTTTCCTCTCTTCTTCTGCCAGCCTCATTTGTAATTGCCTTAGGAAGATGAATGCACATAGAGCAGACCTTTCTGTTAACAGAACTGTGTTGGAACAGTTTCTTTGGTACCTGTTTGGAGGCTTTTGTGAATAATCATACTCTCACTTCACTTAGTATATAGGATTTATGGTCATTGGTGTTAATGTTGGTTCATCCCTCAGCAAAAGAATTGATGCAGGAGGCATTTAAGACTGATTGCTTCATAGAACCAATTGTTAACATTAACCTGCAAAAGCTAAGTAGGGATATGAACATTTCCCTGAAATCACAAGGACTAATTTCATCTTCAGTTAGGAAAAATAAGTAGGAATTTTATCTAACAGGTCATCTTCAGGCTGTGTAAATGAGAACAAAAATGTTTAATTTTTAATGTTGTTTTCTTAAAATAGTTAGACTACGGTATCAAAAGCTGACCATCAAAGCCTGCTCTCTTTCTGTGTTTTTTTTTCCCTTGTTTCTACTGTGAAGTCTCTCCTCTATGGGTTTCAGTATAGGAAGAGCAGGAAATTATTCTGTCAAAACTTATTATTTATAAAGTGTTTTTCTAGCATTTTGGGAAGTGAGGCCTAAGCATTTTCTTGGTTATAAATTTCAAAATATGACTCAAGGTCGTGTTTCATACCTGCCGCCAATCATATGCTGATTAAACTCTTGTGAGAACAAAGCCTGTATCTGTGCTAGAATTGGGTTGGATCAATTAAAAACCAGCTGAGTATGTTCCCACCCTGCATCTTTCATAATACAGAAAAACCATATGTAATAATGCATGAAAATCTCACAAAATTTTGAGCCTCTCACATTCTTTACTGGACAACTTCGCAGGGCTTATAACAAATGTTGTGGTGTCACTTCCTCTTGAAATTCTTTCCCTCTCTATCTGGTATAAGTTATTCTGTAATGTACAGCATCTTATAAAATAGGTGAAATGTTTCTCAGTACCCTTTTGTTTACTAGATTGACCTTTCTCTCCTATATTAAAAAAAAAAAGCCTTGTTGTGTCTTTATCCATTTCCTACCTACCACTTTTTTCAAGGTGGTTGAGGTCGTTAAAACATAAATAAAATTTTGAATATTTTATTGGCTTATAAGACACACAAAAAAGTTATAGTGTACACTTTAATTTTGCAAATTGCTTATACCCAAGTAACCAGCACTCAGATCAAGGCACAGAACAAAAGTTCCTCTGTGCCACCTTCATGTCACAACCTCTCCCTTGCCTTTCCCCCTGTAATTACTATCAGCACTTCTAACAGGCTAGTTTTACCTGTTTTTGAACAAATCTTAAAGTCACTGATGACTTTAGAGGTCATCTTAGAATCATCGTTAGCATTTCTGACGGATGCCCCAGCAATTGTTTGAACGTATAAAAGGCAGTTTACTCCATTTTGTGGTGGCTGTGCTTGTTGTGTAGTGATCATCCAAAACTTGCTTTCCAGAAACTGATGCGTGGTTTCTACTATGCCTCGAGATCTCTGCACAAGGTAGAGTAATAGAACCTTCCATGGTGGCTACCCAGCTCACAGTGATCCTCCGGATTTTGGGAACTGCCCTTTCAGCTACAACTAATTGGAGCCAGGAAAGCTTTTGACCAAAGATGAGATCATCACATTCTCTAAAGAATCTAAAATTTTGAAGTAGGATATACAGACAGAGGGATGGGGCTTGTTCCATCATCCTTAGACTCTTTGAGTTCCTCTAACGTCCTTCTAATAAATTCCTTTTTTTGCTTCAAGTAACCTAAGGTGGTTTCTAGTAACTGGAACCATCTGTAACATAACTACAGAAGTGATCTGTTTTTAGATGCTTTAAGAAGTGACTTATCTCCTTATTCTTCTCTCAGCTATTCCTCAGTAGCAAATACAGTCTCTAAACCTCTCACTCTCCTAGTCCTCCTCCTCCATCAGACACTTTCTCCTTTGCTGCTTATTGAATGTCTCTGGAGACCAGACAGTGCTCCTTTCTATCAAACATAGTGTAGTACTTCAGGTGTAGTCTTAAGAAGGCGTAGTTAAATTAACCCGTGAGTAGAGACCTGATTTTGTTCTGATTCTGTGCTTAATTTGCTTAAGACCTTGGGCAATTGTCTTGATTTCAGTTTTCTCTTCTGTAAAATGAACAGATTAGATCACTGCCTGATGTTACATTGTATGATTATTTAGGGAACAGTGCAAAGTAACAACTGGAATTATATACTTCCTTTATTCAGAAATATTTCTAGGAATTTTTCCAAAGATTACATTTACTCTCTTTGTAGCTGCTCATTCCCTGAACTCTTTTTAAGTTTCTAGCCAGCTTTACTTCAATTAGTGTTTGCACAGATGAGCTTTGAACTGTTGAAGAATTTCATACTTTTAAATTGTTAGTCTGGGTTTATCTCTTCTGATTTGCTGTGTTTTGCCTCACCCAGTTTGATACATCTGCAAAGGGAAAATATGGTGTAGAAAGCACTGGACCCAGAGTCAGACGACCTTAAAATTCTTTGGCCTACTTTCAAGCAGTGTGACTCTGGCCAAATCATGTAAACCCGTTTAGCCTCTATTTCCCTATCTGTAGAATGTGGATAATAACTTCTGTTGTCAAATTAGGTTAATACATGTGAAATTGCTTAGTATCCTCAGTATTCTATTGGCCATCAGTCATCAAAGTCATTTCTATAAATGTTGAATGGACTCCTTTGGTTGATGGTCTTTCATGATTACATGGTCACTTAATCTGAGTTAATTTAATGGATTGGACAGGTTTGGATTAGATATTGGGTTTTTTGTGCCTTATTTTAATGCTTTTCACTGTCTAATCTTTCAAAATGTAGTAGCCTCTGGGTTAGTAGCTACTTAGCTCATTTCTGAACAGATGACAGGCCTTTGATAACTGTAACAAATCTGCATTCCGCCCCCTGCTCTGGCTCTGAGGGGTCTGTTTGCATCTCTCTGAGTAAGGGAGTGGTTTTCAGGCTACGGTTTGTAGTAGTAGGGTATCCTTCCAGGAGTTTAAGAGTCTTTGGGGGCAGTTTTGCAACTGAATCTTGCCCATTGTCACCCTAATGTACTTTTGAATGCAATGCTACAGGTAGCATTAGATCAAAGCTGGAATTGTCAAGTGACCTAGCATAACTCATTGTATACAGATGGTCAGAACAGTTGTCCAGGAGCCACTATGATAGTTTGTGTGACTAGACTTGTGACACTTGTTACTTCTCACATATGCTAAATAGGGACTGGTCAGTAATTTAGATATGAAGACATAAGCTGCATGGTAGCTTGAGCTGCTTGTCGTATTCTTGTGAGTCAAAACTTACTCAGTGCTTCATCCTGGAGGCTCACAGTTCTATCATTTGACTGAATATAATATAGAACTATAATATAGAACTGAAGCTGTCAGTGTTTCTGAAACAATTTTCTTCTAGTGAACTTTTGGTGTGATTGTCAGCAAGGCAGTTCTGTTCCTCTGATAGACCCTTTTAGGGAATCTAAACTGAGTACTTCAGCCTTGTTACTTTCACTGAATCAAACATAAGCAGTTACAAGTCACATGTTTCTGTTGTGACCTTCAGGACAATGGAAACTGATCCTTTATGCATAACCTAGAACATGTAGACTTTTAGAAACCTAAGCTGTAAAAGAATATTACTGTTACTGTTTTTGAAGGTATTATTACCAAATATGGCACAAAACTTTATTTATTTATTTATTTTGGAAAGATGACCAGTAAGGGGATCTTAACCCTTGACTTGGTGTTGTCAGCACCATGCTCTCTCAAGTGAGCTAACCGGACATCCCTATATAGGGATCTGAACCCGTGGCCTTGGTGTTATCAGCACCACACTCTCCCAAGTGAGCCACGGGCTGGCCCCCAAAACTTATTTTAAGAACAAGTTTCACCTATTTGTTCAGACTGAGATTGTTTGGGCATCTTAATTTTGTTCTGGATATATATGTTGCCCTGTCATGAAGATCCTACAGGTTCAAGTCCAGAGAAACATCAACTGATTTTCAGTTACTGATCTGGACACAACTCAGGAGTTTTTGTCTGACAAGGCCCTTGGTCTTTTGAAGGCTAAACTGAGAGAGAGATAGACAGACAGACAAACATGGTGGGCTGAAGGGTGGGAAACAAACATGGTGGCAAGATATGACTGGGGACTTCATGAACTTGCATAGTAGGCTTATTTTCGTAAAAATATTGATCAGTACAACTGAAGTTATCTGTCTTTTATTTTTCCTATGGTGAAATTAACCATACTTTTGTTCTTCATCTTAATTGTAGGTGTGTTCATCCTCGAGGAGGTGTGATTCAGAGTGTTTCTTCATGGAAGCATGGCTCAGGCACGCAGTACGTTAGCACCCGGCAAACACAGTCATGGACTGCTGTGACTCCCCAGCAGACTTGGGCTTCACCAGCAGAAGTTGTTGATCTTACTTTGGATGAGGATAGCAGACGTAAATACCTACTGTAATACAATGTCACTGTGTTTCCTCTGCACTGTTCCCTTCCCCTTCCTCCCCTTGTTGTGACACGGATGTTCATTGTCATAGCTTCAGCTTCAGAAGCTGTTTGTGGCATTTGTAGAATTGGAACTCATGGAAAACCCCCCCCCCCTTTCTTTTTTTTTAAAAAAAGAAGTTACTTAGGAATATAACTTATCACAGAGAAAAGGATTTCTTCTTTCCTTCAGTAGGAATGTGAGAATGATGGATTTTATTAGATTTTATTTTACTTGGTGACTTTTAATCTTAGGAAACTTCGCCTTCCTTTTAGAATAATATTTTAATTGCCAGGTAAAATGGATTTCAGTTTTTAAAAAATCTTTTATTTATTTTTCTGTACAATGAAATTAATATTTAGATTTGACCACTATCTGCCCACCCCATTGGCACTCCCGTCTTAGGGCATTCGCACACATATCAGTCAGGTTCTATTGGCACCTAATAGGGCATGTGCATTTAAAAACCTGACCTTAAAAATAGAAGACAGAAGTATTCAATGCATCTTTTCTTTTAGCTTAAGTCTTCTGCCTTCTTTCCTGACTTTGCTCCTGGTTGACCTCCTACAACACAAATAATTAACATGCCCCTTTGTGTTTATAAATATTAAGGTGACTTAGTTGGTCTCCTTGTTGCAATAATTTATAACTTTTTGGAAAATGTCTTCTTTGGGGCAGAGGTATTTTGGATAGATACCCACTATAAGGTTTTCTGGGCATCTGAATGAAGAGAATATCGAGAGATCAGTGGGAAAATCTCTCTCCCTCAGCCTTTTTTTCCTGGTTTATTCAAATAACGGAGAACATAGAAACCTGTTACGTATGAAGGACAGGAAAAGTTATGTGGCTTCTAAGGCTACAGGCACTTGCCAATCTGAGAGGAAAATGCCTTTTTTCATTGCTGGTCTCTTCATGAAGGGTATGTAACAACTGTTTAACACCTGAGCTAAAATGGACCTGATGGTGTATGTGGGTATTTTTCTCCTCTACCTTCTAAAAAAATATACCATAAGAAAAATCAATATATACCATAAGAAATCAGATGCAAAGCACATTAACGGCACTGTAAATTTTACAGTATCTAAAAGGAATAGCAAAAGGTAGTAGGAGCTTCAGGGAATTGAGGAAATGCCAGCATTGCAATTTTGTGCATTAGTTACTACCTTTTTTCCTATAACATGTTGTAGTTACTAGTGAATTATTTTGAAAGCAATACCTAGAGTTAGAACACTATGTATTGTGCACAAAGGGGAGTGAAGTAATGTTGGCCTAGAAGACCTCGCCTTTTGTTTTTCACAGTTTTTGTTTGCTTTTTTTGTTTGTTTGTTTCCCTTGTTACCATATGATGTTGCTATGGCCCTTTGCCTCCCCAAACGCCTTGGTGGCTCTTCCATATCATTCAGCAAATCATCTACCATAGTGCATAAGGCACTATGTGGGGGCGGGTACAGTGGGGGCCACTGAGATGAACGAGACACATCCTGCATGTGCATGCGGCAGAGTCTGCCTGGCTCCACCTGCCTAGCCTTCTCTCCTTTTTTTGTAAAACAAGTTTATTCCTTTATTCTTCTTCCTGTTGCTTTAGTTCTTCTGTATATCCCTTCTTCCATGGGAATGTATTTGAGTGTATGTTATTTGATCTTCTCTGATAACATCTCGATTGATCTGGCCTCTGTTCTTCATCAGCTTTTTATTTTTCCTCCAATCTACTTTTAATAGGTCAGGCTTTTTAGATCATGAACTTCCAATTTAAGCACCTCATATTTCAGTCTCTCCCATGGCCACAATTCTAGACAAAAACCAAAGACCCAGAGGCCAGAGCAAAATAGGACCTTCTGCAGATTCACTACTGGTGTATCCTTGGACCTTCACATGTTACTTTAGGATTAATTTATTGAATTTTACTGTTACACATCATTTTTGACTTGAATTAAAATACTAGACAAAGCAGAAATGTACAATTTCTCGTCTTTGTTTTCCAGGAAAGTCATTGGGAAGAGAATAGAGTGTATTATATGACTTGAAGTTTTTGCAGCTTATTTTTACCCCAGTATCAGGGCAGAGCCCCGTTAAAGAATGTTTTTACATTACCTAATCCTACATTAATGGTATATTTTGTCCAGTTTCATACAGCAGGTGATTTCCCATGACATATTTTCTTTAGTCCCTAATAGTCATCTGTGTAAAGAGAGAGAGAACTTTTTTGGTGTGCTGTGTGCACTATGGATTGGGGAGAGTGGAGTTGTAACCAAGCTCTTTTCTGGCCTTTTGCTTTTACACCAGGTTGTACTTTTCCCTTACTTGTTTCTATTCCAGCTCCTTGACTACCTGACTTGATGTACCAGAACAGAGATTTAGACATTGAGATACAAAAAGGTGAGGGGAAGGGATGGTAGAGACAGTCAGCTCTCTCCCTTGCTACCATCCAAAGAGTGGGGATATGGTTTCAGGCAAGGTATTAATGATTAAATTCTGTGATTTATAATTCTTATGACATTTGAAAAGTTTTTTGAAGGGATTTTTTTAAACCATAGGTTTGAACTTGGTAGCAGAAGTAGTTCTTTATGCCTCACAGAACAATGTCTGTTCAAAGTAATATTTCTGCTAAAATGGTACATGTGTGTCACTGATTGGCCTATGCCACCAACTTGATTAAGTTCCCTTTCCCTCTAATTTTAAAAAACAGAGCAGTAATGTGGCTCTGTCCATCATGATTGCCCTATAACTTATAACTGCTGCTCTCTAGTAATTGTCTTTTCATTTTGATGGTAGGGGCCAGACTAAATGGACTCCATCATTCTTTACAATCAAGCATCCCATAAACTCTGCTTTTATTGTCATCAATTGTGAATATGAACCATTTGATTTTGCTAATTTAGTCATTTGTTCATCATTACTTTTTGCAGATTAGCACCACAGCTAACTTTAAAATGAATTTGTTGCCTGCTTTCTATACTTGTCACAAGGTTTTTGAAAAAGCTGGGGACACAATTTTGTCTTTTAGTTTTAAACTTTTTTTAAAGGCAAAGAGCCCCTGATCCCTGTTCTCCAATGCGTATAATGATGTGACTTCCATGTAAATATAAAAATGATTGTACCCTAACCAAACTTCCTCAGATTGTGCACTGTTTGTTTAAAATAATCACGTATTTTAGTCCAATGCTGTTGAATTTTTTCATTTTATTTAAAACACTACTTACTTTCTTTTAACAAATTTTAAAGGGTAGTGAGCTTAAAAAAAAATCACTGGATAACTAGGAAATAATTTTGTTGTCGTTTTGTTTTTTAAAGAGTACAAAGGTCATTGAAGCCTTTTGCTCCTCTTACCGTGAAAATGAAATGTTAGCCATCGTATGGCTAGGAACCAATGCACTTGGCGGTTAACAGATCTGCTGTTGCTGGAGTGTGAGCGTGGACTTGATGCAGTGACGACAAATCATTGCTTAGAATTAATGTTTTCAAATGTGCAACTCTAGTTTTTAAAACAAAATTTGGTTCTTTACATTCATTATTTAGTTTTTGTTTCCATTTAGTATTTAATGGTCTTTGGAGAAAAAAATAATAAAACAGAGTGTTATATATATATTTTTTGGTGCAAGATAATTTTTCTGTTTTTTGAAATAAGTCTGTAGCATAAAGGTTAAACTATTTTAAGACAAAATAAAATAGAGTGTATTTAAACAATGATATTTTCTGAGGTTTTTTTTTTCCTGTCTGCTTAAGTTAATTAGATAGTGCTTGGAATGGCTCTCAAGTTACATTTTGGATGTGAAAGTGGATTATATTTTAACAGATCTTTTCATTATAAGATGCCTGATTTTTCCAAGCAACAACTGTGTCCTACTCCCAAGATGTTTTGCAAGTAGCCTGTGGTATGTCTGGTTTAGATAAAAATAATTTTGCATTGGCTTTTCTATAGCCCCCACCTCCCTCTTTAGCTAGATCAGTGAGATTTCACAGAGGACCAAAGGCTTTATAGTGCTGGGCACCTTTGTTCCTGGGAACAAAATTCAGCTGCTGGTCACTTCCCAGTGACCAACACATTAGGGTAATACACTGCAACTGCATATGTTTTGCACATGGTGGAATACTGAAGCAAGTATATGGTGTTTCAAAAATATTCTAAGGAACTTTTCCCCTAGTTTTCAGATATTTTATTTGGTTATTAAAATGATAGGAACTACCATATTAACATCTCACAACTTTTGTAACTTATCTTTACATAAAGGAGAATGAGGAACCAGGGAAAGACCTATCTTTATTAAAACACCAAACTCCACAATCTCTTCATTTTCCTCAAGAACTTTTAGTTCTGCTTGCACTGGAAAGAGATCTGTTAACAATTAGGAAATACACTGTTAACAAGCAGGAAATGTTTTCCGTTTTTTGAAATGGTTCTTTTATACTACCTTTTATCTGAGACCTAGACATATTAATGCCTGTGAGAAAGTCTTCTCTTTTTTTGACTCTAGAAGAAAATTGTTTACCTAAGACCCTGCTTTTGAACTCTTTTGCCCTTGGATACTGCCTTTGAAGAATAGACTAGGCACAAGTAAGTAAAATATCTGTGGCTAGTACTTTATCTCATTTGGGCTTCTTCCTTCTATTCTTTGCTGGCTTCTGGCCTTCCCTTCCTTTATTGTTTTCACAGTAGATGCCAGCTATTTATAACTTTAGTTCAAACAAAAAGCTACAGATAAATCTTGATCAGATATATAAATATTTCTTCAGCTCTATTTTTACAACCAAAGTAAAGTGAATTTCTTCTAGATTTTGTTTTAACCATATTACTGCTCTATGAAGTAGTGATCCTCATAGGTCATTGGTAGGTATGATTTTCTTTATTTCTGACTCCATGTTTGAGAGCACTGATGCATATAGAATTAGAGAAGTTCCTGGGCTACAGTGAATCTTTGGTTGGGAGAATCCGCCTGGAGCAAAAGAAAGCAGTAGTAAGTAGTGGAAGGAGCAAGAAGCTTAGAAAAAGATGAAAGTGATGCTCATGAGTATCAGACATATAGAAAGAGCATCCATTAGCCCAAGAGGTTGTGAATACTGTCTGTGGTTCAATTCAGCGCTGCCATTGTACTGCTGTGCAGGTGACATGCCTTCTAGGTAGAGACAGTTTTAGGCAGGGATCCCTTTGTGTAATGAGGATTCACTGTTTGTTCAAGCCTTGACTGCCCCATTTGTTGGGGTGGGTATGTAAAGGATGGAAGTGAGTGCTGGTAGTGAAATCATCAAGCTTCAGAAAGGAGGTGTGACAGCAACAACTGGTGTGATATGCTAATAAAGTGTGACCTGCTTTATTAGCAGTTGATTGTAAATTGTTTAAATTGGTTGTATCTGTTTAGCCTCTTACTCTTTCGGGAAGGAAGCTATTTTGGTATAGCTTTTTCCTTTGTGCTTTGATAATTGACACCTCAAAAGTGTGACCTGCTTTATTAGCAGTTGATTGTAAATTGTTTAAATTGGTTGTATCTGTTTAACCTCTTACTCTTTCGGGAAGGAAGCTATTTTGGTATAGCTTTTTCCTTTGTGCTTTGATAATTGACACCTCAGAGGAGTCAAGATCTCTTCCCTTTCCATGATTGCTCCATCCTGAGAGTGGGAAGGTGAAGTGTTGTGGACTCTTAAGTCCTCACTCAGTCTTGTGACTGATTCTAAAGCAAGCAGATCTGACTTGAAGATGGCTGCAGCATGAGGGGGTCAGACCAGAGTGTGAGTGAGATATAAAAGGCCTGAACCGGGGAGCAGGAGACCCCAGAAAGGCCATGTGACTGCTAAGGGATTTGGTTTCTGTACCTGTGAAATCAAGAGTGTCTTAGATTTTTGAGACTGAAAGGTCTAGTTGTGTTATTTTAGGAGATAATTCATTGTTCTGTAGAGCCATCAGGCTTTTGAGGCAGGAACTCAAAAGAGAGCTGCTCATTCCAAAAAGCTGTTCAAAGGACTCTGTTCTGTCATCTCACTTTAGGTTTTGGAAGGCATTGGATGACTAACACTCACAGAACCTTGAATTTCTACAAATTCTTTATTTTCAAAGTTTTAAAAGAATGTTTATTTCAAAATTTCCACATGGGGCAAAAGTAGTACAGATTGTTATCTTAATTTTACAGATTGAAAAACTGAGAACAGAAGAATGATAGCATATCCAGATTTACATAGCTAGACTTTGCAAAAGCAGATTTAAAAAAAAAAAATCAAATTGGGACTTTTTAACTTTAAGAAAAACAAAACCTATTTCTCTGCCTTGTTTTTCTTCTTTTAGCTCTTAATTCTACTTTATTCTGGCCTGAGAAGAGTTGAAAGTCTTCCTGAGAGGGTAATGTTTGATTGGTTCCCTTTTTCTTGGACAAGTGTTCACAGATTTAAACATATCGTAGATCAGTACTATATACCTGATGTACATCCTAGCTCAGGCTGTGGAATGGACATGGAAACTTTTTCTGTAGACAGAGACTCCCCATCTCATAGTTTACGGAACAGGAAAATACGGATGGCCAAGAAACATAGGAAAAGATGCTTGAGCTCACTACTAATTACGGAAATGCAAACTCATATTACAGGATGCCATTTCACTTAGGCAGAATTGGGTGGGAATACATTTAAATCCAACAAGGAGACAGAACAATGGCAACTTGCTTGTCTGCTTATGAGAGCATAATTTGCTACAACTATTTTGGAAAACAGTGGGATTGTCTAGTAAAGCTGAATATGTACGTATATCCCAAGATCCAGCAATTCTACTTTTTAGGATAATACCCTTGACCAGTATTTAAACTGTGGTTGCATCCTACATAGGTCATGGAATCAATTCAGTGTCTGTTTATAAACTAGCTTTTATTTCTTTAAGGAAATAGAATAACAAAAAATAACCAGAGACAGTGTTGTTAGATGAAACTGTTGTTTTTATATACTGATAAACATCTACACAAAAATATATGTCTGTGTGCATAGGATCAAGGTGCAAAATGTATTTTACTGTTAGTTGTAGAAAAAAAATGTGGAAAGCCCTGGTTTTAGGGAAACTAGTTTATGTGCTCCCTATTTCAAATGGATCCATCAAGAGGGTGGATAATAATGTATTTGTATGATGTTAAACCACCATGGAAATTAATGAACTGGAGCTACATTTATACACTTATTATATCAACATGGACAAATCTCGACAACGTGGAGTGGAGAAAAAGCAAGTTGCAGAATATGTGCTACACGATTCCATTTACTTCATATTTAAAGACACAAAACTATACCACATAGTGACAAAGAATACATACACATGTAGTAAGAATATAAAGATTTTTTTGAGAATAATAAACACAAAATTCAGGGTACTGGTTACTTCTGGAAAGAGAGGTATGGAGGAGACACATGGGACTTCAAATTTCTTAATTTGGGTAGTGAGACACAGATGTATGTTATTTGTACATTTTTGTATATCTTAAATATTTCATAATAAAATTAAGTTTTTTTCTGTTCCAAGTAGAAAGAATAAAAGCTCTTTTATGACTTTCCCAATTTATTAGTAGAAATAAATAAGACCTGAGGCTGATTCCTTTTAGATGCCTTCAACACTTCTTAGATATGTCACCAAAAACATGAAGCAACAACAAAAAATAAATTTAATACATTGGACTTTATCAGAATAAAAGCTTTTGTGCTTCAAAGGACACCATCAAGAAAGTGAAAAGACAGCCCACAGAATGGGAGAAAATATTTGTGAATCTTAAATCTGATAAGAGACTTGTATCTAGAATATATAAAGAACTCTTATGACTCAATAATAAAAAGACAAAAAAAAAATTAAGAAATAGGCAAAGGATCTGATTAGATATTTTTCCAAGGAAAATATACAATTGGTCAATAAGCACATGAAAAGATGCTCAACATTTTCATGTCATCAGAGAGATGCCAATCAAAACCACAAGATACCACTTCATACCCCCTAGGATGGCTAGAGTCAAAAAGTGAGGTAACAAGTGTTGGCAAGGAAGTGGAGAGCTTGGAACCGTCATACACTGCTAGTGGGAATATTAAGTGGTGCAGCCACTTTGGAAAACAATTTGGCCATTCCTCTGATGGTTAAACATAAGAGTTATACTGTATGACTCAGCATTCTGCTCCTAGGTATACACCCAAAAGAAAAGATATCTACACAAAAACTTGTACACAGATGTTTATAGCAGCATTATTCATAATAGCCAAAAAGTGGAAATGACCCAAATGTTCAGCTGATGAATGGACAAGCAAAATGTGATGAAGCCACATAATTGAATATTGTTTGGCCATAAATAGGAATGACGTACTGATACATGCTACAATGTGGACTGTCCTTGAAATCATTATGTGAAGTGAAAGAAGCCAGTTTCAGAAGACCATATATATTCTATTTGTAGGAAATGTGCATAATAGATAAATCTATAGAAACAAAATAGATTAGTCATTGCCAGAGGCTGGGGGGAGGTGGTAATAGGGAGTGACTGCTAAGGGGAAAGGGGTTCCTCTTGGGGGTGATGAAAATATTCTAAAATTACAGAGTGGTGATG